AAAATCACTACAAGGTATAAAGGCACAAGGAACCTGTATGGAAGTGTATAGGAATAATGCCTTTATAGTCAATGACATTTTGTTTTCAGTTTGGGCACCGTGCCTTGGCAAGTATAAAACACTCACATCCAAACAATGTTGAACATGAACTGGATTTGGTTGTGAACAAGCTTTTCTCACTGTTTCCTAAAGAGAAATGTCCTGGCACCAAAACATCCAAGAGCAATGTTGAAAACTGTGTGTCCTGTTCAGGGTGATGGAGTTCTGGCTTTGCCTGCCATGGTGGGGAACAGGAGGAGTAAATGGTTCTCACCTTTCTTTTCAAGTTAGGTACTTTTGAAGATTTGTTTATTTGAAGGGCAAAGTGACAGAGCAGGAGAGACCGAGAGATCTTTCACCTACTGGTTCATTCCACAAATGGCCATAACAGGCTAAGCCAGGCAAAGCCAGGAGCCTGGAAGTCCATCTGGGTCTCCCATGTGAGTGGAAGAGTTTCAGGTACCTGGACCATCATCTGCTGCCTTCTGAGTTATTAGTGCAGCAGCCAGGACTTGAGCAGGCACTGCAATAGGGGTTGTGGGCATTCCAAGCTGTGGCTTACCCTACTGTGCCACAATGCCCACCCCTACAGTTAAGTACTTTGGGGACAGGCATTTGGTCTAGTAGTTAAGATTCTGCTTGGGATGCCTTTACTCCATATCAGAGGACCAGGGTTCAAGTCTTGGTTCCAATTCCTATCTCCAGCTTCCTGCTAATGCATATACTGTGGGGAGCAGATAATGGTTCAAGTGGTCAGGTCCCTGCCTGCCTCCCCTGGCTTCAACCTTCAGTTCTGGCTGTTGCAAGCATTTGGGGAGTGAACCAGCAGATGCAAGCTTTCTCTCTTTCCCTCCTGCTCTCTCTCTCTGCCTATCAAATTAAAATAAAAATTAAAGAAAATTATTTAGAAACTTGAAAAGTACTTTCAGTTAAATTACACATAGGTCATATAGAAAGCTTCAGTTTAATTTTCTTTTTAAAAATAAGTTTCCATAAGTAGGTATGGCTTATTTATTTTCTTCATTTATCCAGCTTAAATTATTCAGGGGCTGCGTTTTGGTACTTAATTGGGTAAAGCATTAACAACCCTGGTGAAAGTGAAAGGGAATGACTGGGATTGTGTGGGGCCTGATCCTGTTAGATTCTGTTTTCTGGATGTGGGGACTTATTTATTTATTAAGAACTATTGACCCAGATAAACTGCCTGAAGTTCATTACTGTATTGCCAGGTGGGATCCTACAGGTGGGGTGGGGTGGGAGACTTACAGCAAGAGGCCTTATATCCTGCTCATCATTTTTTGAGTCTTTAAAGGAACATGTTACCATAGGAAGTCAAGAATAAGGAATGCAGTGACCACAAATTCAGGGTTTGTAGCACAATTTTGGAGCCACTTATTATTCAAAAGGTCATTATTCAGTGATGATGATGGTTAAAGATAAGAAAATCAAATTCCAAAATTACCTTTTCTGACTTGAAGCTGTTTTGTGTTTCTCTGTTATCCGACATGTCTCTCCCCGGAGCATGATGTGTGGGAGAGAGACGGAATTTGGAATCAAGCAGTCATGAATTGATATTCTACACAATTATGTGGATGGAGATAAATTACTCAAACTTTCTGAGTCAGTAATCTGATCATAATAAAGCAGGAAATTGCACCTGTTGCTGCAAGGTTTTGAGGAGGTATGAAGTATGCCACCCCCATTGCATCATCTGGCACTGCGTGAATCAGGACCCCGTTTTTGCCATCTGCAATGGCTCAGGAGAGGTAGCACAGCAGTGCTCCATGCAAACAGTACAGGCTTGAACTTCTTGTAGCTTGAGTGTTCTATTTTAAATTTATTTACTTATTTATTTGAAAGAGAGAGGGAGAGAGACAGAGAGAGCAAGAGAGAGACTGAGACCTTCCATCTGTTAGCTCATTCCCCCAAAGGCTTGCAATAGCCAGGGCTAGGATAAGCCAAAGCAAGGAGACAGGTACTCTATCTGGATCTTGCACATGGATGTCAGGAACCCAAGTACTTGGGACATAATCTGCTGCCTCCCAGGGTGCACGTTAGCAGAGCCAGGACTTGAACTCAGACACTCTGATATGGGAGGCAGGCATTCTAAAAGGTGTCAACCAGCGCCCCAACTTCCTGCCCCACAGCTTGAATATTTCCAAGGCCGAACTTACTTACCTTCACCCCTTCTAAGCCAGGCCATTGTTGCCTTTCCCCCATATAAACCAAATCGGAGTTGTGATTGGCATTTCAAAGACTTGGGGAGTGGGATAATAGGCATATGATTTTACACTATTGGACAATGACTATATGCAACACATGGAGTGTTTCACATATATATTCTCATTTACTTACTGTAATGACCTTTCAGATTAGACATACGCTGCTTAACCAATTACCCCCAAAACATAGTGGCTTAATATGACAACCATTTACAATACCTAATGAGTCAGCTGGGCATTTCTGATGTGGGTCAGGCTTGCCTGCTTTTGGCTAGACTTGCTCATGTGCATGTGGTCGGTTTGTCGGTCACTGGCGCTGCACAGCCTGGGGTGGCCGTGGCTGACCGAGACAGCCCAGCTCCGCTCCATGTGGTCTCCCACCCTTCTGCAGGTTGTTAGCTGGGCTTGTTCTTATGGTGGTGGCTGGGATCCAAAAGAGGAAGCGGTGACTACCCCATTGGCCAGAGAAAATCATAGGGCCAAGCTCTGAGTAGGGGTGGGAGAGCATTTCCAAAGAGAACAGGTTCAGGGAGGCATGAACAAACGGGGGCTAGGGAACTTGCTCTACCACAGTAGGCTTTGCAGAGGAGCAGGCAGAGGTTAGCAATGTAGTACCTCTTGGTCACTGGAGTGCTCCCTGGTGTCTCCCTGCTGTGTGCTTTCCTCATGATGTGTTACCTGGAGATGCTCTAATGACCTCTGTATCTCCCTTTTCTCATTTTTTGGTCTGAGTTTGAAACTTCATGTAAAATATTTGGGACCAATCAATTTGTCTTAAAACTCTGCTTCAGGATACCTAAGAACAGCGCAGCTAAGTTGGTAGCATGGGTCTGACTGTTACAGAAGACCAGTGTAATTGGATGGAAGAAAATGAGATAAATTTATAGTCCTCCTTTATTTGCTAGCTTTCCTGATTTCACCTGGGTCAGCGTCCATGTCTCCATATCAACCTGTCTGGATCTTGATACCAAAAGCCGAGAAAGGCAAGGACTTGGTGTTGGCCTGGGCCATTTGCTAACTCTTTTTTTTTTTTTAAATATTTATTTATTTGAAAGGCAGTGTTACAGAGAGGCAGAGGCAGAGAGAGAGGAAGAGAGAGGTCTTCCATCTGCTGGTTCACTCCACAAATGGCCCCAGTGGCCGAAGCTGTGCTGATCTGAAGCCAGGAGCCAGGAGCTTCTTCTTGATTTCCCACGTGGGTGGAGGGGCCCAAGTACGTGGGCCATCTTCCACTGCTTTCCCAGGCCATAGCAGAGAGCTGGATCGGAAGCGGAGCACCCAGGACTCGAACCGGTGCCCATATGGAAGCCAGCACTGCAGGCGGCAGCTTTACCTGCTGCGCCACAGTGCTTCTCCCTGCTAGCTCTTTGACCTTGGGCAAAAAAGCTACCTGACTTCCCCTGGTCTCCATTTCCTCCTATGTGCAATGAGAATAACAGCAGAGACGCGATGTGTGCATTACAGGAGGCCTGCAGGTAAAGCTTCCCATCTGGTCTGAACCCCACGCAGCCACCACAATTCATGTCTGTCCCCAAACACCTCTTGGTGTCTGAAATGCCACAGAGTTGGCTTTCGCAACTGCTGCAGCTCTGGGTGAGCTGCCAGGGTGGCGCAGGGAGGCTGAGCAGCTTGAAGACTGTTAATGGATTTTATGGCTTTTTTGAGCACCCCGAACTACCGTTATTAATTACAGGATGCTGTTTAGACACGGTTGCAATATATACATTTAGTTAATTGATTTGCATAGACTTGCATCTAGTAACATAAAGAGTGTGCAGGACCATAACACTTACAATGGATCATAATTGCCTTTGCCGCTCTCTCTTGCTTCCTTGGCTGAAAATAAATGCTTCCAGGATGGGACTTACAGCTCCTCTCTGTCTTGGTTCCTCCAATCCTACAACCCGTCCAGGTGCTCGGAACACATCTTTAATCAAGGAATGCATAAGTAAGCTTGTTTCTATTTGAGTGTCTACCTTAATTCCAAATTACCTGTCTCTTAGGGACCCTGAATTTTGTGTGACATTGGCACCGCCTATGTGTGTATTTGTAAAGATTTGTTCTGAGCCACCAGGTAATGTTTACTGAATACATTTATGCTCTCTTCTTGGCCTGGGGTGGGTGGGGATGCCCTCAGGGAGCTGCGACATTCGTTGGTGTGAGGTTTTACAAGGCACGGCGGTGTTATCAAGTGGCCTGCTCTTAGAGACAACATAGAGGTGGGCACTTTTTGCAGGCGCGCCGTGCGGCAGCCCCCGCACTCCAAGTGTGTATTTTCTGATCCCGCTAGTGCCACGGCCCCTGAGAGCTGTCTACCCAGCCTGACCGCTCCTAGCCCGCACTCGCTCCTCGGAGCTCTCGCGTGCGCCTGGCGCCCTCCCCAGACCAGGCGGCACAGAGCGCCCAGACACCCAGCCAAGGGCAGCGCCCGCAGCGACGCCCGCTCGCGCCTCCGCGCCCAGGTCACTTTAAAGAGCCAGGCAGGGCAGGGTCCCCTGCGGCCCGGAGACGACCTTCAGCTCCAGGTGACCACTCTCTGGGGGAGCTCGCCATCCCTTGTGGCAGGCAGCTAGCTGTTTGGAGAGCCGGAGCAGGGCGGGTGAGGGTGGAGGCTCCGGGCAAGAGGGCTCCCGGGATCCGCCCCTGGGGTCCACGGGGAGCCGGGTGCTGCTTGGAGAGGGAGGGGCCAGACAGCGCTTGGTTGGGGGATGGCGAGGGAAAGTTGGGCGCCGGGGCCGCAGGGCTGCGCGCGGAACCCGGCGCCTGTGTCCGCGTCTCATGAATATGCACGAGCCGCCTCCCTCCCTCCGTGACGTCACGGGCCGTCCCGGGGTGAGCGCCGGAGCCGCTCGGGGTCCGCGCCAGTGAGCGCGGCTGCTACCGGCGAGCTAGCGAGCGAGCAAGCGAGCGGCGCGGCGGAGGGCGGCGGAAGCCGGGTGAGGCGGCGGCAGCGCCCAGAGCGCACCGGGCGGCACAGCGCGGCGGACACCGGGAAGCGAGAGCCGGCGTGGGCCGTGGGCGGCGGCGGCGGCGAGGATGCTGCCTGGGCGGCTGTGCTGGGTGCCGCTCCTGCTGGCGCTGGGCGTGGGGAGCGGCAGTGGCGGCGGCGGTGCGGACAGCCGGCGGCGCCGCCTCCTCGCGGCTAAAGGTGGGTGCTGGGGGGAAGTTTCCTGCTCTCACAGGAGGGAGGCAGGGCGGGCTGGAGGGCGCACGCGGCGAGGCCCCGGGCTCGCGCCGGCTGATTGTGCCCACCCTAGCTTGCCGCAGCTGCTCCGGCCTCTGTGCGCCCCGGATCCCCGAAGTCAGCGCCGGGCGCGGTGGATCAGAGAGGTTCCACCCGCCAGCGCCGGCCCAGCCTCTGGGCGCGGCCGCGGGGGCCCTGGAGAAGGCGAGGCCCGGGGCTGGGGGGGGGTGTCCAGACAACTTTGGGGGCCGTCTGTGCCTGGTGGGGAGCGCGGTGGGTGAGTCGCGGGCTCCCTCCCAGCGACGGCTGGAGCAGGGCGCGGGCGCGGCCGCGGGCACCAAGGGCAGGTGTCTGCTCCTGCCCGGGGGAAAGACAGCAGAGGTGCCTAGAGGGGACGGAGCCGCGCCGTCACCGGCCTCCCAGCTCCAGATGGAGTGGAAACTTGCAGGCTTCAGAGGGAGCCCCTGGCGCGCCCCGGGCTCCCCGCGGCCAGCTCTGGCTCCCCTGGGAACGCGCGCCCTCCGGGAGGGCGGCGAAGTCGGGAAGAGGTTGCGCTCGCCTCAGCTTCCCCGACTGCGCTCTGGCTCCCCAGGGGGCGAGACGCGGGGCTCTGGCGCCTGTCCCCCGCCCACCCTGTGGGATTCGGGAATCTTGACCTTTCCGCCCCGCCCGTCCGCCGGGAAGGCAGCTAGGGCCGGTGAGGGCGCCCGGCGCGGTCTGGCGAGCCTGGGGCTGACGAGCCCCGGACTTTGGCTGCTGCCAGGAGCGCGAGCCGGGGCGCGGAGGGCCGCTCCGAAATTGGAGGTCACGTGGGGAGGCGAGGGCAGAGCGGAGAGGGGCCGGGGGCGCAGCAGAGGCGGTGGCGGATCCAGCAGGAGCGCTCGGCCTAGGGAGAACTTGTTGATTCTCTGCGCTGCCGACGAGGACAGCGTAGGAGGGTTTGGAGGCTGAGACCAAGAGGACCCAGTGCCATGGGGGACCGGGCGGGGGGCATGGCCCAGGGATCCGTCCTCAGAGGGCCGAGGGTTTGTCTGTGGAGAAAGAGCCTGGAGAAAGAGCCTCCGTGTGCGCCAAAACCTGCGCTGCAAACTGGCTGTGAACTCCTGCGTGGCGGTGGCTCGGGGACCTTCGAATGACCCTTGGAGGGAGGGGCCGCGACGGTGCGAACTGGCTCTCCGGGAGCTGCGGGCGTACGTGGCCGGGAGACTTGGGCAGTTTGTGTAGCCTTTTTTTTTTCTTTTGGTGACATATTTTTGAAACGATTTTCCTCAGTAGGCATCCTATGTTTTCAGCATCTTCTTTAGCCCTAATGTGTCTCTTTTGTTGTGTTTTTGGAAAGATCGTGAAAAACCCACGGACGTGGTTCGCAGGCAGTGTGGTTAAGGAAGGGGTCACTCGGGGAGGCTTGGTTTCAGAGAAAACAGGGACTGAAAGCAGTGAACTTGGAGACCTTTTACCTGCTTCCCCCATACAGAGGCTTGCTAAACAGGTGCATTTCATTTACAAATGCCTCGTTAAACATGCGCATTTCATTCCCTGGGGACCTTCCTGTTACCTTTAGCACTGCCCACGGCTAGTAGGAGAGGGAGCTCCGCAAAGAGCACCTGGTGTGTCCACCACCTTGCTGAGGTCTGAGATCAGAGTGGGGGGAGGGGAGCTGAGAGAAAAGCAGCCCTTCAGGGATTCACGTTTTGTGAGTAAGTATGCGCCCTGTAGCCCACGCCGTTCACCTCCCCCACTCAGGACGCGCGCCTTCCGTGGTTGTCTTCTAGCTGTTTGTCTTCCCGGAGTAAAAAGTTTATTGGCCCTGCCAAGTCCGAGTCGATGTCTGAATCCCTCGCTCGGGCGTCTTTCCCCTTCCTGCCACCAGGGGGCTGCAGAGAGCGCCGTTTGCTGCGTTTTTGAAAGACGAATGGGTAACATTTGATCCCAGCAGAGACGTTGATTATGACACGTTAGTTGGTGTTTACGGCACAGGCTCCTTATCGCAGTGCACTTGCGTGTTGTGTTTCCGAATCACCTAATGTGAGAAGCACATTTGAGATAAGAAAGCTGGATGCTTCGTGTATAATGCACCTTGCCTCTGGACTGGGCCGTACTGAAGGTTCACATCGTTATTATTCCCGTCACTAGAGAAAACCCAGGACGGCCTGTGAAGAAGACGGGAGGAAAGAGCAGCTTGCTTCTTCCACACAATTCCGTGTTCGTGTGTGCAGGAAGATGGGGCGTGTGGCGTCCGGCTGCCTGGCTGCGTTGCCGGCTCCCTCTGGACTGTCTGGAAGCTGTCTGGAAGCTGCGCTCCCGGCTTCGGGCTCCTGTAAGAGGCCGCGGCTGCCGTGCACAGCTTGTCCGCCTTTGTCTTCCTTGCTTCTTGCCGTAGGAGCCGGGCAGCTAATCCCTGACAAGTGTGTGGCATTTTCAGAGTCAGCGCATTTTCAGTGGGAACATATTCCTGACTTTAGAAATAACACAGCGGCCAGGCAGTCACAGAGCCTTCCTTTCACTCTCCTGTATCTGGGCTGTTAAAAAAAAAAAAAAAAAACAAAAAACAAAAAACAAAAAAACACGACAGCCACTTTTTGGATCCATTGAAAAGACCAGATAGATCCCATGCACCTGTTCTCTGAGCCAAGCTGGGGAGGGATTTGTAGATCCACGCAGTCTCTGGGGGCAAATCCATGTCTTATTTGGGGGAAAGTACACAGTGCAAGGCAGACAAATCTCTGAAGGTGTGTGTAAAAGCTAGCCAAATGTCCGTGGTCTCAAGATCTCAGGTGCTCAGCGCACAGCCCCGCTTCCATTGCCAACACCCGGGCACAGAGGTCACTCAGGACAGAACCTGGTTAGAGATGAGCTAGTGTTAGATGCCCCCCAGAGCCTGGCCCAGTGCTCTGCAGAGGCTTCTGGGCAGGACCCTCCCACCCTGACCTGCCTGTGAGGAGCTGTTGGTCTTGCCTTGGAGAGACAAGATTTTTTTTTTAGGTGGGAGAGAATGGTGGCAGACAGAGTTTGTCCAAAGTATAATATTAACTGTGGAATGGGCCCTAGGCAAGGGAGATGGGAGTTTGGGGGACTTTCCATGCAAAAGTAGCATTTGGTGATAAAGGCGGGCAAAGACAGAGCAGAATTGTAGCAATAGTAATATAATGGCTGTAACTGCAGTGTGGGGAGTCTCTCTTTAATACATAACTGGTACTATGTTTATCCCTTTACATGGGCTGTCTCACCCTCTGACACCATGTGCAGGACTGGCGTCAGCCCATTTTACAGATGAGGAAACTGAGGCGAGGGGAGGGTCTATAACTTGCCAAGACTTCCAGCTGGAGGCTTAGCACTGGTGTGAGGATAGGAGGGCTCACCATGCCCAGGGCCCCTGGTTCTTTGTCGGATGGTCTCTCCTTTGGTTTTGAAAGCCGACCTGGAGTGCTCAGAGAAGCTTTGTTGCTCGTATCTGAGTTAGTCACCCAGGAGGTCTCGGGTGGAAAGGGGGCCCTCTAGCAGCAGGAGAGCCCAGGGCTGGTGGACAAGCTAGGGAAGTGGGCCCTGCGGGCCACTGTGGAACCACTGACGTGGCCTGGAGCAGCAGCCTGGTGTCACCCTCCAGCCCACTGTTGCAGACTGCAGATTGCACACTGCAGAAATTCATGCAGGGCCAGAGGTGGCTGCGGGGTGTTCATGGTGCAATGGGCAAGGAGCAGTGTCTCCCAGGGCTGTGGCAGAGTTCTTAGCCCTGTGGAAACCCTGAGCTCCCACAGATCTCGGCAGGGCACCCCCAGAGAGTGTTCGGCCCCTGCCCACCTGCTGTTCCTGCGTCTGAGTGCTCTCTTTCCTTGCCTGGAAGCTCTGGTCTTCAGGCTGGGAGGCCACCTTCCTTGGCCCATGGCCTGCTGCTATTCCAGACGTGGCCTTCCCTGGGAACCTTCCTAGGCTGGGCACCCCTGGACTTCCTAGTTGGACACCAGCACTGGAGTAGGGGTCTCATGTTGAGTCTCCCAGGTGTCAGAGCCTGGTCTCCAACATGAGATGAGCTGTCAGCAGTGATTGGCATATTGAAAGCACCTGCTTGTAACCCTGAACACTGTGTATTCTGGATAGAGACTTCTCCCATGTTTTCTCCCCTCCTGTAAGAGGTCACACGTGAGCACAGTAGCCAGAGAAACCCGGGTTCTGGTTCTGGTCCTACTGCTGTCTAGCTGGATGATCTTGGGCAAGTCAGCTAACCCTTTTGAGCTCAGAGTCCTATCTCCCAAGTGGGGATAGATAGCTGCCTTGCACGGTGGCCGTTATTTAGTTCTGAGGAAGCACGTGGCCCCCTCTGTGGCGTGTGCGGGTGCTAACTATGCAGTGATCATAATTATGGACCACTTCAACTCCTGGTTCTGGGCTCTAAGATTTGACTGCTGGGCAGCTCAGTAGTGTTATGCATGTCTTTTTTTTTTTTTTTTAAGGTTTATTTATTTATTTGAGAGGCAGAGTAACAGACAGAGGGAGAAACAGACAAAGGTCTATCCACTGGTTCACTCCCCAGATGGCCACAACAGCTGAAGCTGGGCCAATCCAAAGCCAGGAGCAAGGAACTTCTTCTGGGTCTCCCAGTGGGTGCAGGGGCCCAAGCGCTTGGGCCATTTTCCACTGCTTTCTCAGGCTATAAGCAGAAAGCTGGATCAGAAGTGGAGCAGCCGGGACTTGACCGGGAACCCGTATGGGATGCCGGCGCTGCAGGTGCATGCTTAACCTACTACACCACAGCACCTGTTCATGTCTTTTCTCAGGGCAACCTCTGTTCTCTGTCTCTCTCATGCTGTGTGTGTGTGTGTGCGCGCGCGTGCGCACGCAGGAGTGTGTAAATATCATGCTTGTGAGAACACCCATGGATGCCTTTGACACCAGGCCCTCATCTTGTTTGTCTCTGAAGCCCCGTCCCTTAGTGGCAGCTCACAGCAAGGCACAGCAATGTTTGCTAT